TATATATATATATATATATATATATATATATATATATATATATATATAAAATAAAAGATTCTGAAAAGAGTAGTAAAGACTCCTACAGTTTGGCAAGGTTTAGGATTAAGTCTGCAATAAAAATGCATAGACTTTAGCAATAAATAGATGCAATATACCTTGCATAGGGGTCTTTGCTAATCTTTTCAGAATCTTTTATTTTAGTATATATTAGACTCATTAATTTAGTAAGGCAAAAGATTGTGGCTTAATATACTTAAAATTGTACTTCTATTGATAATTAATATGCACATTAATATACACAACACTACAGTTAACATGGTTATACTTATTTTTATATTTATTGTGTTTATTTAGGAGCTCATACTCTGTAACTACAAAGAACTAAATGTTACTACACATGCTCATGTCAATGTATCGTCGATATGACAGGTTTCCTAACCCTGAATACTGTGCAACTTAAACGATTAATATCTCGCTTTACCGTGTAGAGCGACGATTTTGGCTTTCAGATTCGGTTTCTACGCGTCATAATACACTATCTTATCAAATTTTAACAAAATCGATGAGGTCGGGTGTTTCCTTCACAATTACTACATTAAGTAACAATAATATAACTGTAACATAATATAAAGTAACAATAATATAACTGTAACAATAATATAAATTCTTATTCTACATTGTAACTGTAATATAAAACACATGTGTTATATCCCATTTACATTAGTAAGTAGAAAATTATGACTAACAATTATGTTATTGTTACTTGATCTTTGCTGGAAGATTTTCTATTTATAATACAATGTATTGTTTACAATATGATTTTATTACACAAACAAAAAGATTATATATAATAAAATTAATTTAATATAATTTTAGCAAGGATATGCAGCCTGCATTTTGATGATGACTGCTTCACGATACAACAAACATCCACGAAAGAAGCTAAACTAGTTCAGCGATTAAAAGTAGGCTCAATTCCAAAAAAAATGCTAGTTTTGGAAAAAAAAAGAAAAAAAAATGTGTCAGGCAGCAATACAAATATTGGTAACAAGATAATTAAAGTGCGGTGCGTTGTCCTTTCTATTTAGAAATATTTAATTCGTGTGTGTGTGTGTGTGTGTGTGTGTGTGTGTGTGTGTGTGTGTGTGTGTGTGTGTGTGTGTGTGTGTGTGTGT